TGATTGGCTAAAAAGTTCAATGAAATTTTGAGGTTTGTATAAATGATTGGCTAAAAAGTTCAATGACATTTTGAGGTTTGTATAAATGATAACTTACAAATGGGTTGATGATATGACCACTTTATCAGAAAAGGCCTCCTGGTCAACCACAAGTATGACAAGACTTCTTGCCTGGCTGTATCTCTTCTGCCTTAATTTAATCTACTCTTCCCTGATTTTTTTCTCACGTGATTCTTTTCTGTCTATACTATAATATGAAGAAGATTGAAGAATATAATTATTAAGAGTAAAAATGATAATATTATAATTTAATTTGGGTTTTTTATAAAACAAAACTTTGTTTTGGTGCCCAAATAAAATGATAGTTCATTCTCAGTTTCACATTTATATAATCAGGACATAAAAATGTAAAAATCATCTTATATATTTCTGAAATAGAAATAAAATCATAATTAAGATTAAAAAAAAAGCTATGTCATCCTTCCCCATGTCATTTATGAACTGCTCATTAGATTTTTCATTTCTTCCAGTGTCTGCTCCGGAAGAATTACAGATGATTGCAGACGTCTCTGTTGCTGTAGAATCATTCATCATTTCTATCTCTTGTTCCTCAGCATTCTTCAAATGTTCATTCCACTAGTAACACAAAGTCAGAAACTGCTGACCCAATTCGTGACTGAGCTTCTGCTGCTGCTCTTGCTGTGTTCTCCAAATCTGTTGAATATTCTGGGTACTGTTTCTAACAGCTGCATTCACATCGATTTCAATTCTTTTTCACTAAGAGGCTTCCTAAACTCCTCTTGAAGTGTTCTCTTCATCTTCTGTGCTGCCTGCCGACGTCTTCCTCATACAGTCTTTCCCCCATGTTTTTCAGTTTCAGTCCTGCCTGCCTTCCCCTCCTTCTTGGAACTACTGAGATCTTTGTGATGTTCTTTGACATAGGCTTCTTCACCACACCGTCCATATCAAGCTTCATAGATCTATCTCCCCATTGCCTTTCTTCCAGTGGATACCATCATGTGATTTTAGCTGCTGGCCTGCTATTGTGTTTTTTTTTTTA